GGCTGAAACCAAACTCAAACTGGCTACAGGAATCAAGGACAATAAATAGCCCTTCTTCAGATACGTGGGAAGTTGGGGGGGGGGGGGAAAGGGCAACACTGGACCCTTGCTGAACCAAAATGGGCAGCTGACAACCGACACCCAAGAAAATGCTAATCTCCTCAAGATTATTTTGCATTGGTTTTCCACCAGCCCAAGGAGATCACTCTGCCTGACAGGACACAGGATTACCAGGGTAAAGGCAAACATACGCTTATAACTGGCGAAGATCTTGTGAGGGAACAGTGCGAGAGGCTGGACATCCACCAGTCAGGTGGCCTGGACGGAATGCACCCAAGAGTGCTAAAAGAGTTGACTGACATCATAGCACAAACAATGGCGAGGATATTTGGGAACTCATGGTGCTTAGGAGAGGTTCCAGAAGATTGGAGGAAGGCCATTGTGGTGCCTTTCCTCAAGAAAGGAAGGAAGGAAGATCCAGGGAACTTCAAGCCAATCAGTTTGATCTCAATCCCTGGAAAGATCTTGGAAAAAATCATCAAAGAATCCATCAACAACAGGCTAACAGAAGGCAACATTCTGAGAGTTGTCCAACATGGCTTCATCGCAGGTAGGTCTTGCCTGAAAGATCTCATTTCCTTCTATGACCAGATGATCCATCACCTGGACAGGGGAGAAAAGGTTGATATCATATATTTAGACTTCAAAAAAGCCTTTGACAGTCTCCCATGATCTCTTCATGGCAAAATTGGGGAACTGCAGCCTCAACAACCTTACGATCCAATGGCTGGGGAACTGGCTCCGTGGTCAGACCCAGATGGTGATAGTTGCTGGAACCGAGTCAACATGGCATATGGTGATCAGCGGCATCCCCCAGGGCTCAATACTCAGACCTGTACTCTTTAGTATATTCAGAAATTATCTGGATTTGCGTGTCAGAAGCAGACTGGCTAAGTTCACAGACAACACCACATTGTGGAGAAGTGTGGTCATGCTAGAGGATAGGCTGGTGATTCAGACTAACCTGGACAGGCTCACAAGGTGGGTGGATCAAAACCTGATGACATTCAATACAGAGAAATGCAAGGTACTCCACCTCAGGAGGAAGAACCTACATCATACTTACAGGCTCATCAATGCTGCTCTCACTAGCACCACGACCAAAAGAGACTTGGGGGTCATGATAGATCACAAGATGAACATGAGCCACCAATGTGATACCGCTGCTGGCAAAGCAAACAAAACTCTGGCTTGCATCTACCGATGCATCTCAAACAAGACCCAAGAAGTAGTTTTCCCACTTTACTTGGCTTTGGTGAGGCCACAGCTGGAGTACTGCATCCAATTCTGGGCTCTGGACTTTGGAAAAAACATGGAGAAGCTTGAGAGAGTCCAGGGGAGAGCCACATGCATGATTAGATGTCAAAAGAGCAGGCCTTATGAGGAGAGGCTGAGAGGCATGGGACTCTTCAGCCTGGAAAAGAGAAGGCTCAGGGATGACTTGGTAGCAGCCTATAAGTATATAAGGGGCATGCATCAGGAACTGGGAGAATATCTGTTCACCAGAGCACCCCAAAGGAAGACAAGTATAATGGTCACAAACTATTGGAAGACTGTTTTAGATTGGACGTAAGGAAAAACTTCTTTACTGTCCGAGCCTACAGGATCTGGAATAGACTCTTCCCAGAAGTTGTGCGAGCACCTACTCTGAATACCTTTAAGAAATGCCTGGATGCTTATCTTGCTGGGGTCATCTGACCCTGGTTGACTTCCTGCCCTACCTGATGATCTCACAAGGTCCCATGCAGCCCCAGTGTCTATGAAATCTTTGATTTTAGCAAGGCCATTGATACAGTCTCCCACAACATTCTTGCAAGCAAGCTAAGGAAGTATGGGTTGGATGAAAGGACTTTAATTGGTTAGAAAACTGGCTGGATCATCAGGCTCAAAGGGTCATCAATGGCTTGATGTCTAGCTGGCAGCCAGTATCTAGTAGAGTGCCCCAGGGGTTGGTCTTGGGGGTGGTTTTGTTCAATATCTTCATCAATGACCTGGAAGATGGGATGGAGTGCACCTGGCAGCAAATCTGCAGATGACACCAAGCTGGGGGGAGCAGTAGGTAAATATGTTAGAGGGTAGGGCTAGAATTCAGAGAGACCTTGACAAATTGGAGGACTGGACAAAAGAAAATCTCAGGGGGGTCAATAAGGACAAGCGCAAAGTCCTGCACCTAGGACAGAACAATCCCACGCATCAGTACAGGCTGGGGATTGACTGGCTAAGCAGCACCTCTACAGAAAATGACCTGGGTGTTACAGTGGACAAGAAGCTGAATATAAGCCAGCAGTGTGCCCTTGATGCGAAGGCTAACAACATACCGGATTGCATTAGTAGGAGCATTGCCAGCAGATTGAGGGAAGTGATTATTTCCCTCTATTGAGCAGTAGTGAGGTCACATCCAGAGTAACGTGTCCAGGTTTGGGCCTCCGCATTTCAGAAAGGATGTGGACAAATTGGAGAGAGTCCAGTGGACGGCAACGAAAACAGTTAGGGGGCTGGAACACATGACTTCTGGAAGGAGGCTGAGGGAACTGGGCTTTTTTAATCTGCAGAAGAGAAGACAGAGGAGATTTAATTGCAGCCTCCAACTGCCTGAGGGGTGGTTGCAAAGAGGATGGAGCTGGACTGTTCTCAGTGGTGGCAGATGACAAAACAAGAAGCAATCGTCTCAAGCTGTAGCAACGGAAATTTAGGGTAGATATTAGGAAAAAAAATCTCTCAGAAGAAACGTAGTAAAACGCTGGAACAGGTTACACATGGAGGTTGTGGAATCTCCATCCTTGGAGGTTTTTAAGACCCGCCTACACACAGCTTTGGCTGGGATGATCTAGTTGGGGGTGGTCCTGCTTTGGGCAGGGGGTGGTGGACTAGATGACCTCCCGAGATCCCTTCCAAGTCTAATTTTCTATGATTATGAGTAATCTTACTAACTAGATACTGTAAAAGTGTTCCTACTTTCAGAAGGCTCTCTTATTAAAATTAGGTTCCCTTAAAAAGTTTAAGATGGGCACCTGAAAATCAGTCAAGAACATTTTAGTGTATGAGACCTTGCTGTAAGAATCCTACCAGAATCAAGTATCATTTTAAAAATACACTCCTCAATGAATAATCCTTTCGAATCTCCTGTAATATCTGTAGTTCTTTTACTGGCTCTCCAGCATCACCGGCTTCCACCCCAAGCTTTTTCAAATTTCTGTGTTATTAGGAACCCTTAATATAGCTTGAAAGCCCAATCAACTTTGTTTGAAAAGACCTGTCAAGGGAATCACAAGTCTGGAAACAAGAAAGGATTTTATTTATGATGGAAAGTCCATTGTACCATTGCCAGGAGTCACAGGATGACAATACAACCCAAGGCTGTTATCAAGAGAGATATTTCCAATAGTATCAATACCACCGCATACAAGGCCGTGGCAAATATCTCATCTGGAATATTGTATAGAATTTTGGTCACTCATGGTCAAGATAAGCAAGCTCAAACTGGAGCAGGTGAAAGAGAGGGGCTGCTAGAATGATTAGGGAAACAGTCTATCACAGTGGTTCCCAATTTGTGGGTACAGGTATGTGGAAAACCTGTCAGTGCTACATGTTAACAGATTTATTGTAATTACTTTATATGACAAAAATTTGCTCGTGGTAGTTAAGGTTGTATCAATTTAAATTGGTGGTGCGCAATCTGTCAGAGCTTGAGAACCGCTGGTCTATCATGCAGGAAGAGGCTACATGAGGTCAGTCTGTCTTCTCTGGAAAAAAAAAAAAGTGAAGGCTGACAGGGCCACAATTAATTCCTGGATGTATTTATGGAGTGCAAACACCAAAACAAAAGACGATTTGATATAAATGGGGAAGGTGGGGGGGAGGACGAGGGTGTCAAATTAATTTAGGCTGGAATTTAAGAGTTCCTAGGAACCACTGAAGTAGTGAGAAAAAGCCTTCCAAACAGAAGCTAACCCGAATAGATAGCCTAAGCAAGTCCCAAACAGGACTGTATCAAAGTAGGTCTGTTCCGGTAATTTATTTCTCTTAAAAAGAATGGTTTCCCAGTATTTAAGCCTGTGGTTCTAGCACCACAGCACAATAATGACTGAGTTAAGAAATCTGAAAATAGAAATAAGGCATGGATTTCTTCACTGAATAACTGACAGTTTTGAAAGTAAGTATGAGCCTGATTCCAATAGAAAAAGGGAGAAAGGAAATCAATACCAAACATGATAAAAAAGAGACAGAGCACCAGTCCTGACAGCTAATTTTGTCAGCTGTATATTCTGGGTGAATTGTTGTACAATAAACACTAGGCATTAGAAAGTCAAATTCAGTCATTTAAGTTGCAGGTAGAAATTTTCTAAATACTTCCTTTTCTCTTTCTTAGTCTATAATTGGTTATTTATGGAAGGTTTATCTCCCCTGTGATGGTGCCACTACCAGATAAAATTGAGTCCTTTGACCAACGCTGCCCATTGCTTCTAATGGTAGTCAATACCGAGATGACCAAGTTGTTGCACCAAGTATTTAAAGATTTAAAATATGAATTCCAGAGAGATTTCAGCAATTTCATTAGAAACAACAGCCCAAAACAAATAAGCTGAATTCCTTCCTTTTAACTACGTGGTGGCCAAGTGCCAGATAAGCAGAGAAGTTGGAAATAAAATACCGTAACTACTTGGTAGATTAACACCTTCTGCATGTGTACAAGTCAAAACTCAGTGCTTTTTATTCCCCAGTAGTGCAACTTCAGTTAAAAGGGTCAAATAACAACAGGTTTAACTGCAGCCCGAGAGTCTGCAAAACTTCAAAAGGCTTTATATTTTGGCTCTGAATCACATCTGTCAAGCTTTGCTAGTTGACTAATCAGCTTAAAATGATAAACATTCGTTTACATATGGTTCAAGCCAAACACTAAAACTGTGCAAAATATTCTACAACACCCCAGTTTTCAATACCTGATTTTTTGGCTGTGCTTTGCCCTCCTCCAGCTCCAGGACTCCCAGGAGAACCAGTCTTTTTACTCAACAGACTGTTAAAGAAGCTAGCCAATACGCCTTCACTTGCAGCATTATCTAAACAAAAAAATATATATATACATTACTCAGACAGAAACAGGATGTCAGGCTACAGACATTTTTGGATTCAAGATGGAAACCTAAGAGTTGAAAAAACACATGATTTGTGTCTCTGACAAATATAAAAGCCAAAAGAAAAAAAAAATATTACATTTGGGAAAAATCTCTTCTATTTGACCCAATGCTAGAGTAGTAAATGCCACTGGCCCCTCATCCAACTTCTGTAAGCCCAGGCACAAGGCAGTGTGAGAAGACTGAAATACACCACTACCTAAAGGTAGCTCACAATGTAGAGACAGACGTCTTATAGTGCCTTGCTTCCCTTGAGTTGTACTTCCTGGGCTGAGCTTCTCAGAGGTGATTCTCAGAGTTTCATCCTGAGTCTACAACATGGTTTTAGGTTTTACTACAGAACGGTAACTGTACACATGCCAAGTTTGCTTACATACACATGCTGTTTATAGATTTCAACACACCAGTTCCTATAATAAAAATCTATAAACAGCATATGTATCTTGAAAACTACAGCTATTCTAGCATTAGAAGAAAAAATCATGGCTCTACCATGTAGTTGTTGAAAAACAGAGCAAATCGTTTGAATTCCCCCTTGCAAGACAAAATGCAAGCAAACAAGCACTATGTTACCAAGTTCTTGAAGTAAGTAAAGCACTATTACAGTAGCAAGACAGGTATCTAGAACTCTCCCCCCAGTATAAAAATACAAAGATATACAATAATATGCAAGCCTGACAAGTGCTGAATTGGTTAAATTGAAGCTTAGGGCCAGGGCTACCCACAGGGGTTAATTCAACTAGCTTAGCATGTCAAGCAACATCTACAGCAAGCCATTAAAAATGGCTAGCTGGCACATGTTAATCTATACATGCTAATATCACATGTTTATCCTCTAGACAAATCTTAACTCTAGTTTTAATTCACACCTTTTGTTACTCTTTCAGTAAAAGTTTGTGCAGACACTTCTGCCTGGAACACAAGTGCCCTATTTCTATTGTGCTCAAGTTCATAAAAATGGACCAATTTAAAAATCAAAACAGGACCCTAAGCCAAAGAAAGAATGCTGACAGACTTGAACTGAAGAGCAGCAAGGCATTTTAATTCAAACTGAGATGCGTATGAACAAGGTTTTTGTTTGTATGAATTTAGCTTCTGCCTTGGAATGTTTCTTTCAGGCACTTTGCCCAAATTCTGCCGTCTTTAAGCTAAAAAACAAAACAAAAAACAAACAAAAACTGATTGCAGGGAACTATAGCTATTTCACGTTATAGCTGATCCTTTCACTGGGAAGCCTGAAAACTCTCAAATATTTAAAAAACAGAAGGCAACTTCAAATGTCTACCTAATCTGTTAATAAATAAAATAATAAAAGTGTTTTTCTTTTCCATTATACTTATCCCAGTTAGACAGAGGAGAGTAACGTCCAAGAAAACTGCTACTCTTAGTTTGGGTACATGCTTTCAGGACTCAGATGCAAGAAAATATAGTGTTAAATACACATCTTCCTTCAACTGCTGTGCCTGCTACAAAAAGGTTTCTGGAGCACACCCAAGACCCAAAGGTGTTGAATATGAATCAGCATAGAGCTATTTTGAGTGAGAAGACAGAACCCAGGCATACTGCAGTGGGATATGTCTTGGAAGTAGGTAGGTAGCCAACCTGACAGGAGCAATCCATATATTTGAGTATGTAACCATAAGCATAATTAGGGCAGGAGAAACAGAGCACTAGCCCTAGGGACCAACTCAGAGAGGATGCCAGTATGGCCCCTCCAGTCAGGCATCTTTGCTATGAAAAGGACAGCCCTGTGCTGTTGGCAGCCACAGGAGCTGGGAAACACAGCTCCATACCCAGTAGCCATCAGCATAGTTGCCCCAACCTTAGGCTCTTTAAAAGCACTTGCTACACCTCTATATGCAACTAACAGCATGTACACACACTCTCCCAGGAGAAACTCTCCTGGGAATGATCTAACCCTGGTTGGTCCCAGGTTACTTTCATCTTGCAGGGGCCATTTTACTCTAGGAGGAAAAGCCTGAACATCTGTACACTAACAAGAGAGCCGCAACTCTCCCAAGAGAATCTGAATGTCTGCACAAAGCCTCAGACTGGTGATGAGGAACACTCCTACCCTCATCACTCAAAGGGTGGGAGAAGCCAGCCACTAATTAGCACATCAGCCCAAAATAACTGAAACTTTATCTTATTAGGAATATTTTAAAACACTAAGCTACTTGAAGCACTATGGGCACCAAAACCTATGGCACTGCTACAGGAAACAGGTGTCAATCTTGGGTTCCAGAAGGAAGAAAGGGGACAAAAAACTGAAAGTTAGGTACAAGACCAAAGAAACCGAGGGAAGAATGAAATAGGGGAGAGGGGGCTAGCAAGGAGGGAATGGGAGAGAAAACTGAAGAAGGTTTCACATTCTAAATATCCAACTGGATGAGCCTTGTTTTAGGTAACTCCTAGTACAGTGGTTCTCAAACTTTTCTTTTCTTTTTTTTTGAGGACCACTTGAAAATTGCTGAGGGTCTCAGCAGACCACTTAAACTTTTTTTCGTTGTTCTACAAATCAAAGCACGCAACTCATATTTTAATATCAGTAGTCTTACCTTACAAGTACAGATATTCTCAATTGTTCCACAAGCTTTCTGCGGACCACCTGAATGGAGCTCATGGACCAGACCACAGTTTGAGAACCTCTGTCCTAGTAGGTCAGCGTTTAAAACTTTGACTCTATTGGCAAAAGTAAAAGTCTACTTCAAGATGACAAGTGCCTTGACAATCAAGGTCTGAAACTAAGGATCTATCACCATTCACAGTCACACACAGCTCAAACAGAAGAATTATGGAGTAAACATCAAATTTTTTCTGTGTAGGAAGAATCAACTATTTCATTTTTAAGAGGCTAACAAGATGCATGACAAAATATGAACGCAAATGCATACTTTTAATATTTGGATCTGGTTTCTTAACTGATGTTATCGGTGAGGCACTGGGTACATTGGCAGGGCCAGATCTGCCTTGGGTTCTTGGGGATCCTGCAGGTCCTCGTGCAGGAGATTCCTTAAATAAAATAGTTCAAATAAAAAAATAAGTGAAAGGAAAAAACCCAAAACATCCCCACTAACAGATTAATGTATTCCAAATACAGTTGAGAAAAGTTATTAAATACAAGCCACCTTTTAAAAATCCCACCCATTTTTACCTTTACATTTATAACATAACGTGTATACACTTGCACTGAAAAAAATTTCAGCTGTGGGGAGAGTGGTATAGCGCTGGCAGAGGATAATCACAGCAGATTTTCAATTCACCTGATCAGTTTTTGAACAATTTTATGCTGTTTACACGACCAATTACATCTGAATCCCTATGGGTACATTATAATCTGTGGGGCTCCATTAAATTTGATTTTGTAGTTACATTTATGAACATTACACCTACCCCACACTTAATGCACTTAAGGGTGGGCTTATTTTCAATATTCCATTCAGCTAATAGATTCTCAAGTACCTTGTTTAGAAATTTTACAAATGGCTTCCTAGAGTAGAAAAAAAATGGCCCTCCTTTTTTGAGAGATTATGGAATATGTACTTACTGATGCTCTTGTAGGTGTAGCTGGCTGCTTGGCAAGGTAAGACTGCAAAGAGGACATAGTGATTTGTCAATATATTTCAGCAAACTAAGTAGTAATTAGCTGACAGACCGTGAGTTGCTTTGGACTGTTAATGCAAAAGTACCTGACATTTCCAAATTTTGCCAGGAGAGGGCACTACAATTACAAGAAGTATATTATGTAATAAACATACATGATTTTGCTTTTACAGCTCAATCATAGCAGCTCCAAGTTTAGAACATGACTTGATGACAACCACCCAGCACGGATATGTCTGCGTTTTTGTACTATAATATTACATTTATGTATACTTAATAGGTAGCATACCCAAAACTGGCACAGTTCAAACCAAACACCTGGAAAGTTCCTGCCACAGCATCTGCTTACAATTTAAAACCTTATTGTTAAGACATTGCAACGGAAAAGTTGTCTTGTGCACTTTCAACATATTAAGGCTGGCATCTCTTTGGAGTCAAATTTCAAACATTCTACTTCTGCTGGATGATGTAAAATGTTTCTGCTCTCCACATCAATCCAGTTTATTTTGCCTTCTCTGCTGTATGCATTTGTTTGTGTGTTGATCTGGTACTTGAATACATCAAATAAAAAAATTAAAAAAAAGAATGGTGTCACCCCCCACGTTCTCAGCTAAGTCTCTTAGGCTAAGTACAGACGGTCAAAAAAGCCCAAGGCTGAATTTATTCAATCTTTGCAGGTTTCTCTAAACTGCATAGATTGAACCGATAAGCAAGTGAACTAGCGTTCACTCACAAACAGTCAAGGCAAGCCAGACCCTTGCAGTGGCCCACACCAGTAGCTAGAGGCACTAGAGGACACCTCCCAGCCTGCTGGGAATCAGGCGATTCCTCCAGCCACCCCCTCTCTCTTCAGCCGCCAGGCTGGCTGAGATGGCAGGGGAAGGGAGGGGAGGGAGAAGGTACCCCTTTGGCCTGGCATGAGACTCCCAGCCAGGAGCAGCTTCCCCACACCTCCCCATCCTTAGGCAGCTGGAGAAGTAATAGTGCTCCAGCTAGGGAACAGGGAGGCAGGAAAGACCCTGCTCTGCTGGAGCAGACAGCACAACCCAGGGCTCCAAAGCCTCCTGGGATGCTGGGGGACTGCGAGTTAAACTTGAACCTGAAGGGGATCTAGGACATAACCTTGTTTGACCTAAATCAGTTAAGTCTCATACTACATCCAACAAGGTTTATCTTAAACCAGTTTCAGCCATTTTAAAGCGGTTTAAGTGCAGTGAATTTCTGTTCTGTTACAGGTTTAAACTGGTTTATGTGTAACTTCTGTCCCTAGCCTTAAAGGTACATCTGACATTTTTAGCTACTGGCAAACTGCAAAGAGTCAGAGCATTTTGTCTCAGAGGACACAAACACACCTTTCCCAATTTGAATACCCGTAGTTAAGCAACTGCATCCATACTTCAGCACCAAGAAGTGGTCCTATTCAGAACTGAACACCCGTAGTTCTTCCTAATTTCTCAAAAGCCCTCATGCAGCTAAGCATTCAGATTTGAAAATTCTAGCCATACTTTTTATATACACAGATATATACATACATATACACACGCAATTAGAATACAGAAGTAAACCACAGGTGATATTCAACTTAATATTGTACATTTTCATCCCATGCAAACAAAAAGCAAGTATTAACCCAAGTTTCACACAACATGAAACATACGAAGTGAAGCTGTTTATTTAAGTCATCTTATTTCAATAACTTTCATTTTCATGTTCTTACCTGCTGCTTCATAAGAAACACTTGTTCATCTTCTGCTGCCAACTCTTTATCATGGACTAACTGTTGAACAACACAGTTCTCTTTAGAAATCGGTCACCCAAATTGTAAATGATTATTACAGCAGCTCCAAAAAAAAGAAAGAGAACTTCACTTTTCTACCCATTACTTTACTTCCTTTGTTACATCCAATCCATATTTTGTGCCCAAACCAGATGGAAAACTGAAGTCTATTACTGGGCAGCAAGTCTGCTATGTTCTTACTCTGTGGCTTTCAGGAGTGACATAATAGTTGCCCTTAAGGACGTACAAGAGCAAAAGAAGAAACAGCATCTCCCTACCAGCTATTAAGCACAAATCATGACAACAGGATTTGTTAGGGTCACCATGTGGATTTCAAAAACATACATTATTCACTCATGTTTTTTCTTCAGTTTAAAAATATTTGTACAGCTCTCCAAAGCAGAACTAGCTGAGTGCTGCATTTTTCGGCAGACACTTGTTTTCTTCCAGTTTAATTTGGGAACATTCCAGATAATATAACTAATTAACCGCTGCACAGCTCCTATCATTCAGCATCTCTGCTGCATTTGTATTTCACCCTCGCTTGGATGCACAACTGAACAGTCAATCAACACGTCTGTCACTAAACAATTACCACACAGGATGCTCTCTACCTAACAGGAAGTTGCTAGTAGAGTACTATACCATTTACTTTGGCACCAGTGCAGAAGGCCCAATCCATTTTCCTGTTCATACCTAATGTGTGCAGATGACCCTCTCTTACCCACCACCCCAGATATTCAAGGAATTTGCAAATCTGGCCTACAATACTATTTAATTTTTTTGTACATTACCTGCCCTACACCTAAGCCCAGAGAAAGTTTTCTATTTGTTATCTGCCTACTGCCCAACAATTAGAAGTCCAGGGACTTTACAAGTGTTTGCACTTCAACTATGTTTCACTCTTCCTTTTACAAGAACTTTGGAGTACAACGTATATTTTTATATTATATTTATTCTCCTCTAAAATTCACTCTTCTATTGAACACAATGAGATGCGATTTTGATGCAGTCTCTATGTCATACATTACAGAAAAATATTTTCAGACGTGTGAGGGTTTTTGTGCCATATAAACAATAGATCTGAATTTAAGGCTTTAAACACAAATATTTTCAGGTATATTTTAGTTGATGAAAAATTAATTTAAAGAGTAAAAACAAATCCCTAGAGTATTAGAGAATAGAAACAAGTTAAAATGTTTCTGAAATAGAAATTTCAACATTTAGTTAAAAAGTAAGTGCTCTACAAGCTGAAGCTCCTTGTTATTAATAGCCACTAGCTATTTAGTTTGCTATCCAAGCAAATTAAAATGGCTTATGCCTTCTTGACACTGAAATTGTATTTTTAACTCACATGTACCTTTCTTACTGGAGGCTTTACAACGAAGTCTTCATATGTGTCTTCTGGTTTTACTGTTGTGAAGTTTTCATGCAAAATGGCAATTTTCTTTTCGTTGTCCCATCCAGCAGGTCTTAAAGGAGAAACAAAAGAAGTTTAGGGAAGCATTAGCCTTCTCCAAACACAACATAACTTTCAGCACAGAGAAAATAAGGTAATAAATCTATGATGTCACACAACACCCTTCTATTAATTTAAGTTAAAAGGATGTTACGAGCATTATTTCCCATATAAAGAAACCCAGAGCTAGTACACTGCCTTTAGTAAGGAATAGGAGGTAACCCAGATGTTATAACACAGCAATAATGAGCCATAGATGTACTAAACGAGCGCAAATATTTTTCTTAATGTCCAGATAAGTACTTTACAAGTAAACCTACCAAGGCTGAGGAGAAAAATCACTATAAATTACCGTAAAAATAAGGGATTCAGAACAGAGGGAACTTCACTTAGAACGGGACATCTAAAAAACCTGTTTCAAACTTCCTTCCAGATTGCTGAAATATGACCACATGTAAACAGAGTGAATTTTCACAGCGACATGGACATTAGATAATTTGAAACATGTTTGTAGTGAAAACCTTCTCTTCTATTAGTTGTCTTTAGCCTTGTTTATAAAAGGCCAGAGTACTTTAAATCAATGCAAACTTTTACTGCTCCATCAAGGATGGTATTGTGAAGTGAGATTTCCAAGCAGATTTAAATTTCACAAAATAAGCCAGTTGACTGACTCAACAAAAATCCTTCTTGATCTAATTAAGAAATGCGTGTTTTAAAGAGAACTTTCTTTCCGTCTGTTTCAAAGAGTTTATGATCTGTGCAGAATAGTTCACTTTCAAATGTCCTATTTATATGCACTAAATACCTTAAGGCACGAGAGTCACTTGGACGTGCAGAAGGAAGTAAAACATTTCTGGAATAACTGTTCCTTTAGAAACAGTTGAAAGTTGGTGATACAAGCAAGATACTTACATAAAAACTGCATCCTTTTCTACCACTAAGGCAGGCGTGGTAAACTGAAAGCCATACGTTTTATGTACAATATACTTATACAACAAGTCAAGGTTCTTTTCTTCCTTAACTGATGTATAAATCAAGGCAGCACCATCTAATCACTTCTTTTAAGGAAAGTTAGGAAGTGTAAGTACTTAGACAAGTTTCCTGTCTTTTACTGTAAGCCACCCTGAGCCTTTCTGGGGGAAGGGTGGCATTATACATCTTATAAATAAATATCAGAAGGGTCTTGCACACTGGCTAAAGTTTTCAAATAGAAACTCAAGCTCTGGGAGAAAGTTTTAAAATGTACCACATTGCTGAGTTCTTTACCAAAACTCTAAATCAAACGTATAACTTCAGAAAAAAGGAAATTTAACCAAGTCCCTTGTGCTTTCATAACTACGCTGCAAATGCTATGCATTAAATCGCTAAATACTAAAGGCTACTTTTTTAGATGTAATTTCTACTTAGGGAATTTTACTTCTCTCATGTAAGTCTTGTTAAATATATCCCCTCTCTCTCTCTCCACAGGTCAGGAAAGGATACACTGTAAGCAGAATCTACGAATGTGTGACTGAATGAAGTCAAAGTGTTCTTCTCTGTAGTCATGTTCCTTTTCAAGCACGCTCACTGCATCACACTGGGGGAAAAAAAAACATTTAGATACCTGCACATAAACCAGTTCCCAGGCTCATTCTCTGACCCGCCCCTTGCATTAATCACTATTCCAGCCCTCTGTTTGGGAGACTCCACTAGTTACAGCAAAGGATAAAATACTCAGTGTTCATAGTAATTAAAAGACAATCTCATTCATATTTCTATTATTGAAAAAAAGATATTTAGAGTTGATGTCAAAAGCCTATTTTCTTAAACTATTTTCATTAAACCATTAATTGTTAAATACCTTCCCTGTACCTCAGAGCAAAGAAAGTTTGTATATCCTGAAAAAGACAAGTCCCATACAAAAAGCCATCTCTCACCTAAGTCTTCCTGTACTTCTCTCACCTAAGTCTTTCTGTATTCTGCCATGTATACTGCCGTCATGCATAGTGCACACAGAAAAATACCAAACAAGTAAAACTGGATTGAGAAACGTCACCTTTGTTTGTGTGCTGCAGTAACACTTATTGAACTCAAATAACTTAAACACATATGGTAGAAAAAGATGTTTGCAAAATATTTATCATCTTCCCACTTTCAGTTTAGAATATTCACATCATAAACCTCCAATCAGTCTTTCAACATAACTAGAAATACCAGGCTTGTCATACTTGATCCCTGTATGCCACAATACATTTTACAAATTTAAAATCAAGACTTAAGTTTAGTTAGTTCATCATAAAAACTGAGAAGAGAAAGCCACTTCTCCTCCCCACTTTGAGAGTACTGTTTAGATAACAGAGAATATAAATCCTGGTTTAGGGCAGTGTTTCTCAACCTTTTAAGTAGCAAGTACCCCCTAAATTCTGAAAATTTTAATAAGTACCACAATACTCAATTTTCCAGGGGCCTTTATATTTACAGACTAATGTGCCATATGTTGGAAGACAGGCTGTGTATATAAGGCTGTGATATGACACATGTCTGATCTGGTGTGGGTAGGGTTACACCACCTTTTACACCAGGGGTGCACAATTCATGCATGTATCCTTGCTAGAGGTGATGTTGGCCAAAGCTAGGCGGATTGAACCCAGTGCTGCACAGAGCACGGCACGCTGAATTATCACTGAGGAATTTAATTTTTTGAACTGCACCAATTTTTTTGCCATAGTTTTGAGGGGAGGAAGAGGCGAGAGAGAGGAAAAGAAGGCAAGAGAGAGAGTGTTGAGGTACCCACACACCCCCTGCCTGTGTCTCATGTACCCCAACGGGTACGCATACCACAGGTTGGGAAACTCTGGTTTAGGCAAAGCAGTTGCAAAGGCAGATTCAGAGGGGGTGCACTAGCACAGTTGCACCTACCTTTCAGAAGGCACCAAGGACTTTTTTTATAGTCCCCAATCAGGTAACAATTCTCCCATTTCCCCTGCCCCCGACTCAGCAGCACATCCCCTCCCTGACCCAGGACTGCCACTATCCCTAATGTCTCCAGCTGCCCTGGGGTGGGTGAGCTCCGGAGCCACTTCCACCCTACTCCAGGGAGGCTGTGCAGGGAGTCTGGGCTCAGTCCAGAACAACAGCTGCAGGCAGGCTCTCCCTCCATGCCCAGTCCCCCAAGTGTTCCCTGTCAGCTTGGGAGCAGGCACAGGGAAGGGGGCCCTGCCTGCCACAACCACTGTCCCCAGCTGAGCCTCAGCATCCTATGCAAGCCAGCTGGAGTACGGCAGGGGCTATTCTGGAGCCATCCCTGCAGCACTGGTTCCTGTCCCCCTTACCTTTACAAAATCCTGGGTCCACCCATGAACAATGAGTTTAGGGCTTCATATATGAAGCTCTCAAGTACAAGCTCACCTTTGTGCAAACCACCAGCACAGGAATACCAAGGTTGTGAGTCAGGACATTTTCTCCAAGTGGCAGAGTAACATTTTCATCATCTTGACCAGATGAAGGACCTCTTCTCTGTGGTGATCCCTGGTAACCTTCTTCAGGTTCCACATACTCCTGGAACTCCTTTATAACTACAAAAGGAGACATATGGTTTAAACTAGGACAACCATCAATTTTTGGAATAAAGTAGCACTTTATATATCTACAACTAGCTTGGATGTTTTAACTGCACATCAGCATCTCACTTGGTTAAACAGAGGGGGAGAGACATGTACAATGCGTCTGATCTTGCTTGGACTGAAGTCTGTGGCAGTATTATAAAAGTCTGTGGTAGTATTATAATAATCCATCTGTTATTATTATGGTACTTTACAATGCAAAGCATGCAAGGAAACAAGCACTGTCATTCTGTTTAATCGAAATAGTTTTATATTATAAAAAGTGATATTCTCTCGATTTAAGGCAGTAGACATTTCCATGTGCAAAGCAAGCAGTGCCACCACAATGCACCCCTCTGGTCTTGAAACAGCAAAGAGAGAAAGAAAATAGGTTTGCAGACTTAAACAACCAAAGAACCTGTGGTTAGTTTCGATATTTTCAGAAATTATATCATAAAGAATTTAACTTGCAACTCAGTACTTCCACACAATCCTTCCTTTGCATTTACAGTTAGAATCAATTAATATAAAAATCTATTGGTGCCAAAACCAAAAATTAGTCTGACTCGATCCTCAAAACTGGGAACAGCTCAGAAACTTTAAGACTGGTAACCTTAAGTTCTAGTGCATAATATTTAAAGCAAATGATATGCATAACTAGGTAGACAACTCAGTTCTAATGTGTGATGTTTAGACAGCCTCCCTGATCAAAATATTCTCTCCCCAGAAGTAAAAAAAAAAAAAAAAAGTCCCACAAAAAACCCCACATCACAATTGTGGTTCAGAAATGAAACTGACCCAATTACATTCAATGCATTGTAGATTTACTGCAACCAGGGAAAATAAAGTAAATCTACAAGCTAAATAAAATACTACTAAAAACCAAAAAATGTGGTGTTTAGGTGCACAATACAGGAAGGATGAAAAGTGTTGTTCTGGTCATTCAGATGAACACACACAATCCAGCCACCCACTTTCAGGCTTCTCTTCATATAATCCAATGCAATACACAGAAAAGCAGGGCTGTTGCTTGTACTTGCCATCTGCCTACAGAAGATTACTTTGTAACTCCATGGAAACTGCTGCTTGGCCATACTCTTGGTATATAGTTTCATAGTTAGTATGGTTGGAAGGGACCTGAGCAGATCATCAAGTGTGACCCCCTGCCATGGCAGCAAAGAGTACTGGGGTCAAACGACCCCAGCAAGGTGACTGTCTAGCCTTGTCTTAAAGACCCCCAGGGTAGGAGCCAGCACCACTTCACTTGGAAGGTGGTTCCAGATCCTAGCCGCCCTGACCGTGAAGTAGTGCCTCCTGATGTCTAGTTTGAATCTACCCTCTGCCAGCTTGTGACCGTTATTTCTTGTCACTCCTGGAAGTGCTCAGGGGAACAGGGACTCCCCCAGTGCCTGCTGGTCCCCTCTGACTAGTTTGTAACAGGCCACTAGATCCCCCCTCAGCCTTCTCTTGTGGAGGCTGAACAGGTTCAGGTCCCATAGCCTCTCCTCGTAGGGCCTGTCCTGCTGTACCCTGATCATGCGAGTGGCCCTCCTCTGGACCCTCTCCATGTTGTCCACATCCCTCTTGAAGTGCGGTGCCCAGAACTGGACGCAGTACTCCAGCTACGGCCTGACCAGTGCTGCATAGAGGGGGAGGATCACCTCCTTGGACCTGCTTGAGATGCATCTGTGGATGCATGACAAGGTGCGGTTGGCCTTCCTGACTGCATCCCCACGCTGCCGGGCCATGTTCATCTTGGCATCAATGATGACTCCAAGATCCTTTTCTGCCTCTGCACTGATGAGAAGGGAGTTTTGTCTTGATGTGTCACAGAACAGGAATTGCCCCACACCCCATACCATGAGTAGGGAGGGGAAAAACCAAGGGGTGATGTTATGTCCCCACTTTCTCTATTTAGCAAGATCCATCTCCAATGATAAATTGGGGACAAGTCTGGCCAAGCAAAGAAAATCTTATTTTCACCACTCAGACAGACCTGTGCCCCTGTTCCAGAGTGTAAATAAGTAAAAAGCCCACTCCAGCTTTACAAACCAATACAATATTACTTATTTCAAGTTTTGTGGCCTATTATAGGAAAACAAATGCTATCTGCATACCCAATGCACAGGTGTATCCAACACCCATTATGATGTGCAGGTGAAGTCAAAATTATCTGGAAAAGGATGCAGGTGCACAGAGCTACAACAAATTATGTAAAAAAAAAAAAAATTCTGTGGTCATATCAGAAAGTTATTAATCTCTCAAAAATACAAAGTGAAAATACTTGGGAGTTTTTAAAACGTAATCAAAAATCCTTTAAAATTAGCACTGTTGTTGAAACTTCTATGTTACTCTTAGCCTACTCCTGCCTAAGAGCTATGCACAAACAATCAGAAGGAAATGTGCCAATACAGAAGCGGTCTAGCAGAACAATGGCTTCTGTTAGCAGTCCTAAAGATGCCAAAACCTTTCAGAGAAAAAAAAATACATCAGATACTTACATTTTTGTTCCATGTCTCTCATCTCTTCTGGGGGAATTTTCATCTTATCAATATGCTCACGTAAAACACTGGCCCATTTTTGTAAAGATTCCATTACAGTCCAAGGTCTAGACATGTCAACCACAAAAACTACGATGGTGTCCTGTAAAGAGTCTGCAGAAACAGCAAACTTCAAAAGCCCTTTATGGTACAAGTCACCATCCAGAATCCAGACATTACAGCGGGTGTGATCTGGAGGAGTGGGAGGGAATAAAAAGAAACGATAGTTATATACATCTCAGACTGAGAGGC